AAAAAAAAAAAAAAAAGACACCTGGTTTCTTATCTAACTTGAGAGGAGTCAGAATCCTTGTTTCCTTAAGTTAACAGCAGATCATTGCAGATCATGTTTAATTTGTTTAGCTCCTTTAATGTATTGTTCTAACGTGCATATTCAAATTCAGTTCTTTTATAATGCATTCTTCCTGAGATAACCAGCCTTCTTCCCAGTACTGTATCCCTATCTTGTGATGTGCATCTGTTTCTTTGCATTTTAATTCCGTCTCCCAAAATGAAACCTTAAACTGCCCCACTCTTTTCTTTCTTGTAAAGCACTTTAAGTGCCTTTTATGGGTCAGTGTCTTAATATAGGTAGATACATTTATGCTTACTTCTTTTAAGGGCCTCATTAAACACAACAAATAAAACATCTTCACTTCCAGGATTAGCAGTTTCCCATAAGCCTGTCCACTGAACCATCACAGTTCATGGTCATAATATTAACAACATCTCAAGAGTGAAGGAGAAAATGGCAAATAGTGATGCCAAGTAAAGGTGAAAGTCTTGAGAGTGTTATGAGTTACACAAATGGATCACACATAATATACGAATGATGCAGACATGTGCCGATCATTTCTTGAGGTCCAAATTCCTTCAAGAACCTGATGAAACCTTTTTTACTTTTTCCAGAGGAAAACTGAAGCTCACGTGCTTCCATCCATGCACTCATCCTTATTTCACGTGATTCTAGGTGCATTTCCCCCTTGCAGCTTGTTCATGGATTCCCAGGTAAGCACACTCTGTGCACACACTATCCAATACAGTACTCATGTAGCAATTTAAATGTAGACTAACTGAAATGAAATAAAATTAAAAATTCAGTTCCTCAGTTGGGCCAGCCACATTTTAAGTGCTCAGTAGCCACATGTGGTCAGTGACTACTGTATTGGACAGCACAGATACAGAAGAAAAAGTTCTGTCAGATGTCGCTGCTCTACACTTTCAAGATGGTTTAAGAAGATTTAGTTCCTTGACCAAATCTGTGTTTTTCTCTTCTCCCTTCACACTCTCACCACAATTGTTAATGATTAGTTAGTATACCCAACTACAGATGTGCCTTGTTTTAAGCAAAATCCTGAGTATGTATTTCTTAAAAGTTTAATTAGATGACTCATCTTCAGAAAAGAGACTTATTTAAATGAGTTCTTTAAATAGGTTGAGCTGCTCTGATGTGATAGTGTGGTTTGACTTAGTTTTTTCCTTCTAGTTCTCTGTGAGGTAATGCTCAGTGATTGACTAGATAATTTATTTCATCTGGCAAGTTATGCCTCCAAGTTGGTCTATTTCTATTGTATTTTGCTTAGTTCTTCCTTTTCTGCCCCTGGCCAACTTCTTTCGGTAGAGATAGACTTAATGACTTCCTTGACTTGTTTCTTGCTCATACATTTCATCAAGACAACCAGGAAGAGTAGAGCTAATTAGGCTAAGTGAGATACACCTATATTAAGATACTATAAGGGAACAAATACAGCTCTAGTGAAAATAGAAATAATTTTGAAATTATCCATTGGTTAGTTTCTTTGGTTAGTTTCCATGGTTAGTTTCCTTGAGCCTCAGTTTCTCAAGCTGTGAAATTAAATAAGTGGTTTGCCTCTAACTAGGACATTGAAGGTGAATGCAAAAGGAATGTATGATTTTGGGGGGAAAAATCTGTTCCAAAATTTAAACCTGGAATGATAAATTCAGTTTTCGTGTTGGAAGTGAGAACTAGTCAAGTTGTCACAGAGTATGTGTTTCAGACTCTGAAATTTTGAGAAAATCAGTGTACAAACCCAGCCTACTCTCCGTTTGGTGTTAGAGGAATGTCATTTTTTCAACCACCAGCTCCCTGTTGCAGACAGTAGTACTTATTTTAAAGTGGTTTTCTCATTAGACTTGTAAGTAAAAATCAATTTTTTTGTCCCTTCCCACACATTTTAATAAACTTCAAAAACAGAATTGGGGAAGAACTGATTGATTAGAGAAACAAAGAATTGTAAGTAGGGAAAGTACCAGTAGAAAAATAAGAATAGAGTAAGAATAAAGGAGGAAGTAATTACTTTGTTCTCAGTTTTAGCATTTCTTTGGTACCTCACCATATGTAAAGCTTTGTATAAGATGCAGAAAGAACAAAAATAAGACGAATGATGGCATTAGGTGTTATGTGTCTCTCTCAGGGAGTTGAACAGATTCATACACAATTGACTGGTTAGAGCATAAGTGAATGGGAGCTGTAATAGAGGTGGAAATGATTAGAGTGAAGAGAAAGATTAGACAGGGGAGGCATAGAAGGCTTCTTAGATGAGAGATCTGAACTAGGCCTTTGGATGACCAGGATTTTCGTAGCTGTCCAGGTATAGGGAGGGGCCTTCAGGTTAGGATATGGGTCTGAGCAAAGGCTGGACAGTAAATGCCTGTAATAGGTTTGAGGATGGTGACTTGTAGGGATATAATTGGGACAGGCTTGTAAGCGAGGTTGGATAGCTCTTTGAATACCATGCTCAAAATCCTGTATAATAAAAATAATGAAGAAATAAATGGGTTTAGTTATCTGTAAGAATGGAGACAATTAGATCCATGACCAATAAAAATGTCTATCTTTAATTAAACATTCCTGTTAGAAATTTATATTCTCCATACTTGGGTCTGACTCCCTCTTAGTTTATTGTGGTATATGGCTTTGGGAACCATCAAGGGGCTGGAGAAGGCCAGAGAAAAGGCTACTACTGATAAACTATCCATATACAACTGATGGTGCAAGATAGAAGTCCACAATGGAAGAGTTGGAAAAATAGTATTATAAAAAGGAAAGGGTTGACATACAATACTCTCTTTTTTCCTTTAGTTTTGAGGTATCTGCCAAAAACATGGTTCATTTTCCTTTTTGCCAGTGATCTATTTATCCAGCTTCCTATTGAGATTAGTGTGTGCCATATACATGTGTTGGTGCCAGCACGTGGTACTGTAATCCTAAAATAGTATCTATTGTGCTTGTAACTGGTTTATTTAAAAGGACACTACTGCAGGCACAAGGAGGAGGTTTGTGGCTCTATAAATCTAATTTTAGGGTCTTGTTGCTAGTAAGACCTGAGGCCCTGGTGTGTGTGTGTATCTATAAATATATATCTATTCTTTATATAACTCACCATAAAATTCATCCTTTTAATACAATTTGGTGGTTTTCTGTGTATTCACAAAATTGTGAACTTTCACCACTCTTTAATTCCAGAATATTTTCACCTTTCCCCCCTCAAAAGAAACCCTGTAGTCATTAGCAGTCACTCCCCATTTACCTCTCCCATCATTCCCTGAAAGCACAGATCTATTTTCTGTCTATGGATTTGCCTATTCTGAACATTTCATATGAATGGAATCATATAATATGTGGCCTTTTATGTCTGGCTTCATTCACTTATTATAATGTATTTGGGGTTTACCCATGTTGTATGTATCAGTACTTCATTCCTTTTTATGGCTGATTAATTTTCCATTGTATAGATATGCCTATTTTATTATCCAGTCATCAGTTGATGGACATTTGGATTGTTTCTGCTTTGGGGCTGTTATGAATAATGCTGCTATAAACATACACATACAAGTTTTTATGTTGGATGTATGTTTTCATTTCTCTTAGGTATATGCCTAAGAGAGGAATTGCTGGGTCATATGGTAGCTCTATGTTTAATTTTTTGGGGGAACCACCAGACTGTTATTCATTATGATTGCACCAGTTTACATTCCCATCAGCAGTGTATGAGGGTTACAGTTTCTCCATAGCCTCTTCAACACTTGTTATGGTCTATCTTTTTTATTCTAGCCATCCTAGTGTGTGCGAAGTTTTCATTTGCATTTCTCTACTGGCTCTTGATGTTGACCATTTTTCTCATTTTTAAGTTAGGTTATTTGGTTTTTTATTGATGAGTTGTAAGAGTTCTTTATATATTCTGGATATAAGTCCCTTATCAGATATTTGGTTTCCAAATATCTTCTCCCATTCTGTCTGTTGTCTTTTCACTTTTTTTTCCCCCCCGAGAATGTGGAAGGGAGAGAGGGAAGGAGGAAGAGAGAGAAACAACATCGATGTGAGAGAGACACATCAGTTGGTTGCCTCCTGCGCACACGCACCAACCAGCCAGAGATTGGGCCTGCAACTGAGGTACGTGCCCTTGGCCAGAATCGAACCCAGGGCCCTTCAGTCCTTGGTCCAACGCTCTGACCACTGAGCAAAACTGGCCAGGGCTTTTCACTTTTTTGATAGTGTCCTTTTAGGCACAAAAGTTTTTAATGTTTTTAATTTTGGTGAAGTTCAATATATTTTTTGTTTTGTTGCTTGTATTTTTTGGTGTCATACTGAGTTATTTTGAATATAATCAGAGTTATAGAAAAATTTAGGAAGCATTTGTCCTTGAGGTCTGGTGGATAGCAGTGTTTAAAGAAAATTTAAAAGATGATTTCTACTTCACTTAATTGCAGCATTCAGTCAAGCTAGACTTTAAGTGAAAAATGAAGCTTTTGATTCATTTTTATATACTTTTGATATTTAAAAAAAGTATGACTTTGCAACCAAATCAGAACTTTGAAGATTGAACTCGATATTGATTATTCTCGGTATTGATTGAACTCGGTATTGATTACTCGGGCTTTCTTGTAGACTTTAATATTAATCTTTAAGCTTTTACATAGTGTGATCACAGTGTGCCTACTATTTGGGTTTATCACTCAACAGTATATTTCTAAAGTCCTTTGTCTCCAGCTAAGCATTTAGTCATTTCCAGAAATCTTTCCTTGGCATCTAAGGCCCTGCCTGCTCCAGGCCTGTCTCTCCAGTCCCATCTGCATGCAGCTCTCGTCCCTCTCTGGACTCCAGGTTTCAAGCCTACTTTGGACTCTCGACTGCATGCCAGGCTGCATTGGCACAGCCTTGGCCTGGACTGGTCCCTCTCCCTTGCCCCCTCTCCTCCCCTCTTTTCACAGTTTTCTGCTCCTGGTGAGCTTAGCTTGTTGTCAAACCCATTTGCCCTAGGTCAAATCTACCTGTGGTGGAAGCCGAGCTTGGTGATCATTGAGACATTGCCTTCGAACAGCCCGCACTGGAAACCGGTGTATGGTCTCTCACTGACTCTGTTGACACAGCCAGCTTTCCTCTGGCGCTGGAAGTTGCTGCCTTTCCTTTAACCCAGTGGCGGGTGAAGTAGCTGGCTGTGTTAGAGTCATAGTGTATGAAATTCACATTCCCCTGATGGCTGGAGTCACGCACCGCTCTGAGCTACTCCTGAGATGCTCACGCAAGGGGCCTGGGTCTGACTGAGGGGAGTCTCAGGTTCACCCAGCGCATCGCTCACCAGGGGAGACGCTGGGCAGATGCTGCACTGTTGAAGTTGTTCCTTGGTTTTTGGTTGAATGTGAATGGCTGTATTCTATCCCAAGTACAGACTCTCATTTGTAGGACTTACCACAGTTGTAATGGCATGGATTTGTGTGTGGATTGTCACCTCTCTAACTCCCAGTGAGACTGGTGTGGCTTGCATCCTCTACATCTGGCACAGTAGGCATTCACTAAATGCTTGTTGAAAAACTTTTCCCACCCGCTCCACTGAATGCTAGGCTTCTGGGGTGGTTCTTTAGAGTTGCAAACATTAGCTTGAAGTTTCATTTAAAACATGTTTAAGCTGCTCTACCCTGTCTGCCTCAGCGGTTGGAGCGTTGGCCCGAGGACTGAAGGGCCCTGGGTTCGATCAGTTCCCGCCAAGGGCACGTACCTCGGCTGTAGGCTCAATCTCTGGCCCCAGTTGGGGCATGTGGGGTGCGTGTGGGAGGCAACCAATTGATGTGTCTCTCTCACATCGATGTTTCTCCCCCCCTTCCACTCTTTCTGAAAAGCAATGGAAAAAATATTCTTGGGTGAGGATTTATAAAAAAAAAAAAGGAAGGAAAAAAACATGTTTAAGCTATTAAAACTCATAAAACTCAGGCACATTCAGATGTGCTTTATACTACAAGTGGATTGAATACTGTTAGTTCTGTCAGGTTACCTTTATTTTGTGCAGATCTTGAAATAAAGTGAGCAGTTGAAAGATTCTTACCATTCAACTGCTTATTTTTATTATATCTGTGACAGCAACAGGAAAACCCTAGAAATAAATGCAAGGCAGCTGAGCCTAGTGGGTTAAGTGCTGGGGTTTAGAGTAGCCTGCCACATTCGTACCCCATTTCCACATTTTACTAGCTGTGTGACCTTGACCAAGGTATGTAACCTCTCTGAGTCACTGTCCTTACCTGCATTATAGGGATAGAGACTTGTGAGGAGTAAATGCAGTGAAGCAGAGTAAATGGCTTACAGGGCTCAGTCAGTGTTGGCATTGTTGTTGTTATTATAATCATACCTCATTTTATTGCCCTTTACTTTATTGCACTTTGAAGACATTGCAGTTTTTTACAAGTGGAAGGTTTGCGGCAACCACTAGCAAAAAGATTATGACTCGCTGAAGGCTCAGAAAATAGTTACCATTTTTTAGCAATGAAGTATTTTTTACTTAAGGTATGTACATTGTTTTTTAGACATAGTGCTATTGCACACTTAATAGACTACAGTATAGTGTAAACATAACTTACATGTACTGGGAAACAAAAAAAAAATTCATGTGACTTATCTATTGTGATATTTGCTTTATTATGGTGGTTTGGAACTGAGCCCTCAGTATCTCCGAGGTATGCCTGGATTATACTATTTTATCCTTAACTCCAAAATGTCAAGGTTTTGAAGTGTCTCATTTTTTTCATTGATTGAATTTATAAGTTAAAGACTGCTATATGTAAGTCCCACAAAAATGTCCTTTGCTTTAAGGGGGATAAGGGGCTTAAAACCATTGGTGTAGACAGAGCAAGGCTAGTACTAGCACAGCTCCTCATTCGTCACTGGGAAACCTTCCCATTGAATTTGATCTCTAGGTCTAGGATCCTGGCTTCCTGTTGTGTGCCTGCATAATTCTCTCATTTTTCTGCCCATAACTCTTACTGAAATTTCACTGAAGAAATGGCCATAATAGAAGCCTTTCTGTAATACTGCCAGTAAAGACTTCTTGTATTCATTCCACAGAAACTTCCTGCATTCCTATGATGAGCCTGGCGCAGTGGTGAATCGCTTCCCCCCTGTTGTTGGGTCTGAGTGAATTTTCCCGAGTCTGAGAGGTAGGTACAGTTGTCACCATTGTCCTGTGAGCTTCAGGATGTCAAGTAGCATGCCTATGGGTCTGTGTTCTTGGCCTTTGACACCAGGACCAGTTCTCCTTTACCACAGTGAGCTTTTATTTGGTACCAAGAAAGTTTTCACCTTGGCCTTGGCTGCCCAGAAAGAAGCTTCACAATACTCTTTGCTGTCGTAGACCAACTTTTCCTGTGTCCCATTGGTGCCTCTCTCTCTCGTGGTCCTTCTTTTTTCCTTGTTTATGTTAGCTTTATTTTATTCTCTGGAATATGATTATTCTAAGCCCTCAAAATTTGGGAAAATGTTGAGTGAATTATATATTTTACATTTATTTCATTTTAACAAAATTTTATAGCTATCTGAGTGTGAAACTTAGAAAAGAAGGGTGGGCAGGTGAACGACTTCTCGAAAAAACTGATTAAAGTGTAGTATTTGAATGTAGGACTTTTTTTAGGCTGAAAAGGTCATGGGAAGCTTTCAGGTGTGATTTTATTTTTAAATTAAGAATTTAGCGCTAATAGAAGTCAGATATTTCTTTCACATTTTAATGTGTTTACTCTTAAAATTATGAAAAAAAAATTGAATTTACATTGCTAAGATGCGCTAATTTTTTTCTTTGCAGATGATGATGCTTGAACTGAACAACTAAGGTGAGATTTATGACCTGTGTAGTATGGTTTTCTTATTCAGATTTCCTTATAGCATTTAGCTGAATTGCTAAAATCGTGTTTTAATCTTGGTGAAGATTGTTGCCTTTGGGCAAACATTCCAAAGTGTGGGTTATAAAAGATTTGACATTACATTTTAAGGTAAGTTCTGAAAATAACATAGCAGGATACCTTTATTCATTCAGCTTATACTCAAGAAGTTTCAAAGGATTTCACTGTTTTTAGAAAAGAAAAAGGAAACTTAAAATATCTGTAAGCCTATCATGGTTATGTTAATGTATAGATTGCATGAAGTTAGTTTTTGTTAGTTTTTGTTAGATGTCCTTGGGAAATGAGATGATTTATACAATTACCAGTATCACCATGTATGTTTATATATAGTTCTACAGTTAGAATCAGAGAGATGTGTGTATTATTAGTAGTTTTAGCAAATGCCAACATACTTCCAAATAGTATATCTGGGAGGCCCCAGATTACAGATGGGAAATGTAAATATTGTACCCTATTTCCTGGTGTGTGGGTCTAGCATTCCCCAAATTTGTTTGATCAGAATAATGGCACAAACTAGGAAATCCCACATTATTATGAAAAAAGAAAAGAACTGTCAACGTGTCCTGATAAAATTATAAATGACAAATGCTAAGGATCTTCTAAGACTTAAATTTGGGGGATGTATGCAACCAGTCATCTGAGTGGAGGTTGTTAAATTGCATTATCTGGGTTATAATTTGATGTAGAGATTCTAACAGTGCTGTACAATAAAACTTTGTGTCTGGTGAGACAATTAGAGACCTAGTAAAATACTGGGATAAATGATAGATTATAATTATGCACATCTGTTCCACTCTCCTAACACAACAGGGAACTTTTGTGTTCATGTAGCTTAAACATTGTGTGAAAGGAACAGCCTTGGGACAGGGGCTGCTGGGGAAGGTTTCCAGTGTTGGTGACCATGCTGAGTGGTTCTGAGGGCCCAGTGGTAAGTTAGGTGAAACGGGGTGGGATCACCAGCAGAGGGAACAGTATGTGCCAGGGCAAAGGCACGGGAGGGTGTGTGAGCTGGGAAGTGGAATTGAATTTCAGTGCCATCTGACGGTGCTTTTCCGAATGACTGAAGCCAAGAATGGGGAGCAGGGCCAAGTGTCTTGCCTTAAAAATTGGATTTAGACTTGAATCTGTGGAGAACTACTGAAGAATGTTAAGGAGGGGGTATTTGACAGATACTTTTCCCTAAGTCAAAATAGTTGGTGTGCTTTTTTGGTTTTGGTACATCTTTTTCTGTAACTCGAAGTTGTTTAAGCAAGATTGCTAAGAATTAGCAAAGGAACCGATTTAGCACATCTTTACATATGCCAGGAAATTAAGAGGCTTGAGATTGTTTGAATTTCCTCTTTAACAGTAATTTAGCCTGGGCATTGGACAGCGTGATCCATTGGCAGTCAAAAGTCTCCGAGAGGAATGCATCTTGATTGCCTCAGACTTTTGTGGGCCAATTTAAATTGTATTAATTATAGCAGTAATTACTATAGTGGTAATTTAAAAGAGCTAGTTGGAGTTAGGGACAAGTTGCTACAGGTTTTAGCATATAGTTGGAAATACAGAATTCTTGCATGTTAGAGGAAGTGTTCCATTACATTACAGTGGGTCACATTTACATATAACTGGGAGATAGCCAGATAATATGATTCTGCAAATTCATCCAGGTAATATCACAATTATTGTTCATGTCTTAATTACCTTCCCATTGAGAGGATCGTGTTAAATTTCCATTTTTGTTCTAGAGCTGTGCTGTCCAAAATAGCTATTGGCTCTGTAAATATGGCTATTCAAATTAGTTAAATACAATTTAAAATTCAGTTTCTCACTCTCCCCAGCCATATGCCAAGTGCTCAGTACCACCTGTGGCTAGTGGCTGCCATATGGGATGCTGCAGATGGAGGACATCTCCACCATTGCAGAAAGTCCCGTTAGTGCTACTCTAAAGGTTGTCTTTTACAAATTTTAATATACTAACAGCCACTTAATGCTGAAGTATTTACAGATTAAGTGATATAATTTGATTCAAAATAACTGAGGAGAAGGGAGAATGGGGAGTTATGGAGGAACTAGGATTTGCCATTAGTCGACAATTGGTGAAGCTAGATTTAGGGTCTTATGGGTATCATATTATTCCCATTCAGAAATTTTGTGTATGTTTAAATTTTTCCATAATAAAGAATTAAAACAGAAGCTTAAATAGGGGCAGCACTTAGAAGGAATCTTCTATAAATGAGCATCTGAAATCCCACCCCGACAGGCTAGTGCCTATAGTGTAGGAAGGTTTTAATTGTGCCACGGTTTCCCCTAAGGGGTACGCATAGCACCACGTTTTTATTTAAGGGTTACTTCATTCCCCCCTCAACACACAAGTAACGCACAGGCTCACCCTTGTTAAGTTGGAACTGCCCAAATAAGTCTTGTGGGTAGAATGTGCTAGATTACAATACTATATTTAAAATTCCATTGCTGCTGACATTAATTTTGGCAGACTCAAGGTAGTGTTTCCGATGAAGAGAATAGAATTCATTTACTCAGTGGTTGGCTTATTTTTGTTCACTGCCAAATCAGTCAGCTTCTGTCTCTGGTTTCCCAGTTACCAGCTCCTATGGTGATAGCATTGGAAGAGAAGAAGCAGGGATCGTGGAGAAAACCCTGGCAGGAGAGGAAAAGCCTTCGGTGAACACTGTCACTGTGTCACCAAAGGGCCGTTTGAAGTTGTCATGCATATTTGCCTACTTCAGTCTCCTACTGCATGCCTAACAAATGGTGGCAGGGCTATTGAGAGTAGAGAGAAACGGTTGAAAGCAAGGTGTTTGGGGTCAGACTTGGCCTTGAGTGCCAGCTTCAGTCAGCTGAGGCCCAAGGAAGGGCGAGACTGAACCCCCACCAGCTGTTGCAGGGAGTAACGGTAGGGTAGTGCCTGGCGCATCATTGAGTGCTTCATAAATGACAGCTCTGCTGTTAGGTATTGTCTGTGCAGAAAGGAATTGGAGCTCTGTGTTTATTTCCCTTAAATGCTGATATTCATAGAATCATGTAGAGCAGTGTACAGGCCTAAAGGAATGTAATGGTACCTTTTTATTTTACAGGGTTCTGAAGTCAAAGATCTTGAGATTAATAATGGCAGGAAAATCATCACTTTTCAAAGTAATTCTCCTTGGAGATGGTGGAGTTGGGAAGAGTTCTCTAATGAACAGATATGTGACTAATAAGTTTGATACCCAGCTCTTCCATACAATAGGTGTGGAATTTTTAAATAAAGAGTTAGAGGTAGATGGACATTTTGTTACCATGCAGATTTGGGACACGGCTGGCCAAGAGAGATTCAGAAGCCTGAGGACGCCCTTTTACAGAGGTTCTGACTGTTGCCTGCTCACTTTCAGTGTTGATGATTCTCAAAGCTTCCAGAACCTGAGTAACTGGAAGAAAGAATTCATATATTATGCAGATGTAAAAGAGCCCGAAAGCTTTCCTTTTGTGATTTTGGGTAACAAGGTTGACATAAGTGAACGGCAGGTGTCTGCAGAAGAAGCCCAAGCCTGGTGCAGGGAGAACGGCGACTACCCTTACTTTGAAACAAGTGCAAAAGATGCCACAAACGTCGCAGCGGCCTTTGAGGAAGCAGTTCGAAGAGTGCTTGCCACCGAGGATAGGTCGGATCACTTGATTCAGACAGACACCGTCAGCCTGCACCGGAAGCCCAAGCCTAGCTCCTCTTGCTGTTGATGGCCAGAGAGGTTGCCGTGCGTCCTAACCAACTCTCACACACACAAACAGGGGAGAGGAGAATTAGCATTTGCAGCAGTGGATCTTGTACTCATAAAATTAACCATATTGCTGCTTCATAAGTGGGTGGGAGAAGGGACACATTCACTCACAGAAGAATCTATTTACTCAATAATGGCACCTTACATTTATAAATTGTAACGGTTGTCTAATGTTTAATTTAAACATGTAAGTTACAGAGCTAATAAATGAGTTGACCAAGACTTTGACTTTACTTATGATTAAAACAAAACACTTGAATATTCTAGAAATTATTGTTCTTTTCCTGGGAAAATGGAGAACTGCTTTTTATATATGTATATTTTTATGTAATTAGCATCTATTCCTGGTTCAAGGGGAAAGTTTCTTAAAGCAATAATGTTAGATATTAAAGATTAAAATCGAATGCATTTGTGCTGCAGTGATTTGCTTCTTTGTTCTCTTTCAAATTATTTGTGTCCACATTTTCATTTTACCCAGCCGAATTGATCTCACCCAGTAATAGCTCACCATTTGTGTGCCACACGTTGGCTGCCCCCCAACCCCAGAAGCCAACTTTACCATTTTTAGAGGAAATGCAAAGAAGGATTGCACTTTGTGTGAGGGTAAGAGAAGACATCTTTATTTGGTCGTGTATTTATTGTCTTCTCTCTTACTGAACACTGTTTAGTGATTTGCTCTTGAGATTTTTCATCTTGCCGCAGTGACCACTTACTGATAAAGCAAATTGCGGTCTTTGTGGGTGTGTCCGGATGCTGCACATTCGTGCCGATTCCATCCTCCGGAGGCGAACCAGTGCCCCGACTGTGCGCCAGTGAAGGTGGGCCCGGCTGTGGAGCGGTGGGTTATCAAAGGACATGTTTGGGGCGGGGTGCATTTTGAGAAACCAAATAGATCAGCCATTGAGCGTCGGCCTAGGATCCAGGAGGTCTCGGTTTGATTCCAGGTCAGGGGAAATGCGCAGGTTGAGGGCTCGATCCCCAGTGGGGGTCGTGCAGGAGGCAGCCCATCAGTGACTCATTGATGTTTCTATTTCTCTCCCTCTCCCCTCCTATTAAGACACGTTTTGTTTTTTAAAAAGAGTGTCATTACAGTAAGCTAAGCTTTTGAAAGTCTTATTTCCTAACATAACAATTTGGCTCTAAGGAAAACATTTTAACATTTTTGATTTGGGAAAATTAAATCTCTTCATATTCTCAGGTTCGAGAGCTCAAGTTTTTATTATTTAAAATTACTCCTCCCCCCAAAAAACAAATCCTCCATCCAAAAAATAAAATAGGAATCCACCGTTTACAGATTGCTGTATATTATATATTTTTTGTTTTTTTTTTTCTTAAAGGGACTTGCTTTGTTTTTTAAAATCAAAAGTGTGCCCATTATTCTGCGACTTGCCCTTCTCTCTAAATATGTCTGGAAGTATTTACATTATAGTAGGCCGCCCCTCATTTATTAGCTGTATGGATACCTAACAACTATTCCAACCCTTCTCTCTTGATAGACATGTAGCAGAAGTACATGAAAATGCCGGTTTCCCACACCTTGGTCAACAATGTCTGCATGCGTGGAAAGGGAGGGTAACAGTGAAGCATTCTGGGAGTCACATGGTTCGAAATCCTAAGGCGGACGTATCTCTGCCTTTGCCACCAGTCCCTGTCCCCGGAGGCGGTCGCATCAGTTTCTTGGGTGTCCATCTAGATATTCAGTGCATAAGGAAAGCATACTCTATGAGCTTGTTCGGCTGCCATAACAATGCAGACTGTGTGGCCTCAACAGTGGGAATTTCTTTTCTCACAATGCTGGGGGATAGAAGGCCCAGATCAAGGTGTTGGTAGGTTTAGTTTCTCCTGAGGTCTTTTCCTGTGGCTTGCAGATCATCTTTCCTCTGTGGTGGTCCTCCCCACCTATGTCCGAATTTCCTCTTACGCCAGATTGGATTAGGCCAGCCCAAATGGGCTCATTTTAACTTAATCACCTCTTTAAAGGCCCCATCTCCAAATACAGCCACATATTAAGGGTCTGGGTGGTGGCTAGGACTTCAACATATGAATTTGGGGGGTACGGGAACAATTTGGCCCATAACTGTAGGTATTTACAAAATGTGTAACTTGGGTAGTTACGTAGATTTCACTAATAGCATTTTTTTAAACTTTTAAGCATCTTCTCAACTAATCTATTTTCAGATAAATCCTTAAGGATTAGATTAGTTGGCATTCAAGAGGTCTAGAGTTGAGCAGCAAAAATGATCTAAGGACCAGGTCTACATGTGTGTGGACAGGCTGACAGAGGGGAAAGTAATCCAGCTTCACACCAGGTCTTTAAGGGGACCCGGGGAACAAGGGCTGATCTACCAAACACGGTGCTGAAATGTGATAACTAAGAACAAAACCTGACTAGCTCTGTCCTTCAAAGCTGCTACAGCCAACTGATGGAAAAGCTCTTCAACCGGCAGCAGCAGCAGCGAAAGGTAGGTGAAATTCTTTTGAAGAAAATAAAAGGTGCTTTTAATTGGCTGGTGTTACCTATACAGAGATGAGAAGTATGGGAAAAACAAGAGTGGGGAGCAAAGCAGGTGCTGCGGGAGTGTGACAATAGCCGCAGAGCCCCCGAAGGGCGTGGGAGATCTGGGGTTCGGGAGGCGGGGGCCTGTGACGGTACTGCTGCCGCTTGGCCTGGGGCCGTCTGTGGCAGGGCGTTTCCGTGTCGCTGCGGATGCAGAGCCTTGGAGTCAGCGGTAAAGGCCGACCACTGGCCTTGGAGAAAGGGCAAATGGACATTTGCCCGCCGAGATGGCAGAGTAGGCTGTGGAAGGTGGAAGGGTACTCCAGCAATGGGTTACTTCAGACTTCTGAAGGGAAGGGTAAAGGGCCGCCTCCACCCTTGTGAAAAGCTCCCTAGCTGAAGTTAAAACATCCTAAATGTTCCTTGTCTTTAAAGAAAACTTTGCTTTACATTTTTATAAAAACTTAAGCTTTCACTGTAATATGACACGGATGCCAGTTCTCTTAAAATACCAGTGACTTGCGGGGCAGTGAGGTGTTAAGTAGGAAAAACGGCCCTGCGGGTTGTGAGGCGTCACCACGGTGGACTGCGCCCGGGAAGTGCTGTTGTGACTGGAGAGAGAACACGGCTGTACCGGGTAGAGCGGAGGGGGCAACAGTGCAGCCTTCTAGGAAAGGGGACAGAACCAGATCGGTGCATTTTATCTGGGTCACTTTGGGAGTGCTAACGATCACAAATGGAACGCTCACAGGTCTGCGCTCCGTGGAGCCTGATGTCCCTCCATTGCTCTTGTGCTCCGGGACCACCTACCAGATCTATGCTTTGCCAGCTGTCTCGCTCTCCCCTCACAGCAGTCCTAGTTCTGTCCCATCAGCTGTCCTCTCCCCATGCCCAGTGGGGCTTTTCCCACACCTTCTCGCGGCATGTTCTCCCCAGGAGGCCCGCCTAGAGCGCCTTCAGAGATGCAGGCACCCGTGAAACCTGGCACTTAGCTGCGGTAATGTACCCGCAGGGCTCCTGTTCCTTGTTCCCTTCACAGCCTCTCAAGCCCAGAGAGAAGGATCTGTTCGCAGGGCACCCTTGTGCGACTGAGCCAGGCCCTGCGGGTCTCCAGTCTAGAACTTCCTGCTGCTGCTCCTGGCTGGCCCTGCTATATGGTCATTGAGGATAGAGCAAACTACGTAAAATAAATAACGTGGCGGGTCTCTCCAGTGAGCATGGCTGAAATTACTCCTAGGTTTCTAGCTTAGTATCTTTCTCTGCTGCTCCCAAAGCTCTGGCACCTAATTTGAGGTGATCTGAGTTCTGTAAAATGTGTTAAGATATAAGTTTGCAGACTTTTGATAGGGGAAATAAAACTAAAATGGTAGTGGTGGTCGGGTGAGCAGCACTTTAAAAAAATTCGATATTAAACTTCCACAATCCTGGACAAACATCTTTATTTAAGAAATCAAATAAATAGGGTAAAAAAAACTGGTAGCAACTTCACACAAAGATACAAGACCAAACTTAGAATTACTTGCTCAAGTTATTCAGAAAGGAACAAAATTCTTCAAGTGCTTACAATTAGCACAGAAAATACGTGGTTATATTACTTGCTTTTCAACAGACAATTACTCGTTTACAGTAAGATCCCACAGTCATTGCAGTACAAGAGACCACTCCTGCCGCCTCCGGTGTACAGCCTAAAAGGCTGGGAATGCAAATGTTAATGTAATTCAAGCTTTGCTTTGTTTACAACTCTAAAATTGCCTTGCAACTTTTCACTAACAGATATCAACAGGTTCATTTCATCCTCAGTATACTGTCTAAGGGAAAGGATCCTGGACTCCAGAATGACAGCGGGATCACTGTCCCGATCCGGACAGGGGCCGGCATGTGGCATTAGGCGCTGCAAGTGCTGTTTGCCTGGGCTTGCGGGGCAGGGCTGTGAACAGTGCCTGTACGTTTTTATGTCAACTCCAGGTGTATGGATAAGCCCATGTGTGCGTTACCGTCATTCCTCACTGCGGACGCTTTAGTTTTAAACCTGGCTACCAACTCTTGACAGTGACGTACGGTGGTGGATTGTTACACCAAGATTAAGCTATATGAATGAGGAAAGTCAAAAGCTTATTCTCAAAATTTTAAAGGTATTTCAAGGTTGTTGAAAAAGAACTTATAAATAACTGTTCAGAAGCAAATATTAATCTATTGATAATTCTAAGAAACTGAATGTACTATTTTTAACTATAAAAGGAATTTCATTAGGTTTAGATAAATTGAGACTACAAGTAAAACTTTTCCAGGCTATTTAATCAAGTAACTTACAATGTACACATTCCTGAGTATACCCCATTGTAGCAACATTGTTTATTTCCAGATTTTTCTGCATTTAGCTTAAAAGGTATTTCTTCCCAAGAAACTGAACTTTCCTGTCAAATGCACTGGATCGAATAGGAGAATTGGGTTCATAAAATGGATTCATTGCAAACTAGGAAAGAAGAAAGAATTAGTGAGTTTGTCAGAGTAAAAAGGCTGACAAGTAATAGGCCTCTAAATAGTTTTGAGTTTTAAATGAAATCATCAAAGACATTCAAAACAAAAGTCTGAAGACCATATTTTTAAGTTTCCACGAAAATGTTCCATTGTTAAATAGTAACTTCCCCTTAAAGAACTTTCTTTCTTGGTGTTTTAGTTTTGAGCAGCACCTGTGGTAAAACTGATGGTAGTATGCATGATAAGTGTTGCCTGTGTAAGCAAAATTAACTTTCAGGATTCACCCTGTGTGTGAATTACTAATCTCCTTACATTCATTGTAGACATGTGGATTAATCTGTAAAACCCTTTGGCTACATAAAATACAAACTAAAAACCTGCCATATGCTCAGAGTTAAAGTTATACCACACTGACTAAAAGTTACTAGTGTGATAATTTTTTAATAATCAGGTTTTTAACACTCTCTTTAACACAAGGCTAAGTGATCAGTTTCTCAGATAACAATGAGTATATCATAATGTCAAAGAAAGTTACTAATGCAATCACTAATGAGGAAAGGAGTTACCAATTTTTATACCTTAATCACTGTGTCTATCTTTATAAGAGGGCTAAATATTCTTATTTGCTGCTGCTGACTAGGAATATTGTTAGCTGTGCTGATACACAAAAAACCTTGTTCAAATACAGAGCATTTAAATGATTAAGAAATACTGTTGTCAGCACTGCAGTTTAACCACCGATATCCTATTATTATTTTATTTTTTTCCAATTAAGTATCAAGAAATGTGGGTGGCACAATTCTCCTTGGGTGACTATTTGACAATATATGAATCACTTCCCGCTGGTTTATGATCTGTATTCATTGCACTGTAACTTATTTGTAAAGTAGGTGGAAAACATTTTAGATTAAAATTATAAAGGAATTTCTCATATGGAGAATACTTCCTTCTCTCTCTTTAGGGTTCCCTAGTAAAAACTATATGCACCAAAATGGGGAGAATGAAATCAATTTAAAAATAACCATGAGTTCTTTTCCTAAATACATGATAACCTGGTGGTGAAGACTTGCCCATTGAGGGAGCTGCCAGGGATGGTTTTGACGGAGGGAGAGCTAATCTGAGATGAAAACTGTAGTATAAAGGAGTCACTTCAACAGGCCATTTCCCTGCCAAAGTTTGAATCTCTTGTGATTATCAGACTTAAAAAGTTACAGAATACACATACCTTTATGTATAGGTCATAGACATCAGTAAAGAAGTTCTTTATTCCATCTTCTTGCCTCATGTCATGAAGCATAATAAATCTCATATGTGAAATAATTAAGGTATAATTTTTAGAAATGAAAAACGAAAAGCAACCAGTTCAAAGTTAGGTTAGTTTTACCTTAAAGAGAACATAATCTTTTAAAGTTAAAAAATAAAACCACCCTTGATAATGTTCAGATAAACCTTAGTTTTATATATGAGACTTGGTTTTAAAATGATGTTAAATTACAATGAATTTTCCCCCCTAAAAATAGTGAAACCCATAAGCAGCAATTTTTCACCTGACACTTCGAAGCGCGCAGACGCAGCCTGGAACGTGTGTCCCATGCTCTAGTTTGCCACCCAACCTTTACTTAGGTATCTTTATTCGGAAGGTAAGGATATGACCTGCGGTAACAAACGCTGACACAAACCACTCGTTGAACTTGTCCACAGTTTTCAAGTACATGTTGTTCGTCAGCCACATGTTCTCATCCACCAGGTCGAGGGCGGCATGAGCGATGAACTGGTTCAGATGACGATGGTCGTCCTAGATGAGCGTGAGCGGCGCCAGGTTAACGTTTCCGTACCGCACCAAGAAAGCCAACACTGCATTCTGTAAATCCTGTACATAGCTCTTGTGCGGGGGACACTTTCTTTTACTTTGCTTATTAATGGCATGAGACTTATAAAAGATCTTTTGTGTTTTCACATCATATTCTACTTTTAAATTTGGTATCTAAAAGTCAACAAGTATAAACAGCCAACTATAGTAATTAAAATAGATCCTTCTTTCTAGAAGCTTGTATCTTTTTAGAGGAAGACAGGAAAAAATACCTAAGACGTTGTGGTAAAGGACAGAACTTAGGTGAGCTGGGGCTAAGGAGGCGGCGAAGGAGAGCTACAGAGAGACGCTGCTGGCACGGGCCTCAGGCTGCGGTGAGGGGAGCTTCCTGCACAGTGACACCTGGCGAGGAGGCAGCAGTCCCGAAGGGCTGGCACAGGCCTCTTTCAGGTGTAAGGAGTTTGCCTGGCAGGGGAACCTGGGCGTGGCAGGAGGCCCTGCTTAACCCGTGAGCAGTCAGGCCCCTGTGTGAGAAATGGCAGGACACAGTCCTGAGAGAGCTGGGAGTGTCCTTTTCATGGGCTGAAACAGCTTAACTGGAGAAGGTGGGAATGTCCCGCCATAATGTAGAGGGAATTCACAATCTGAAAAGCAGTCTTACTCCTGTGGAGTTCTTATTTTCAAAATGCATTTTTCAAAGAACACCTCTGTTACGGGTTGAGTTGAACCCACCCCCCTTCCTATGCTGTAGTCCTAACCCAGTACCTCAGAATGCCACCTTATTTGGAAAGAGGGTCGTCATAGATGTAATTAGTTAACATGAGCTCATGCTAGAGTAGAGTGGGCTCCAATCCAATATGACTGATGTATTTATAAAGGGGGACACTTGGACACAAACACACCCAAGGAGAACGCCATATGAAGACTGGGGTTCTGCTGCCACGAGCCAAGGAACTACCAGAAACTACCGAGGGGTCCTGCCCACCCTTGATCTGGGACTTCTGAGCTCCAGAACTGTGAGACAAGACGTTTCCGTTGTGCTAAGCCACCCAGTTTTTGTATTCTGTAATGGCAGCCCTCGGGAACAAATACAGCCTCTTTGCTGAGGAGGCTGTTGTCGTGACTGGGCTGCAGGAAGGCTGCCAGTTGCCCTGGAATCCCTCGCACAGCTAAAGCATGTTTACTTCACTCCTGCTGCCATGATGCAGCTAATTTAATCCTTAGAGAAATGGATGCATTTTGTGTCTGGCTTACAGCAGCATTTTCCATTACTTTACAGTGATGATCAATCTGGAGAGATTAGGAGAAAACTGTAGAAATGCTTTCAGAAGGTAAGTGGTACCATCTTGCAATGACGTGTTTTTACATGTACTGCTTTACGTATCACCAGGCCACCGGAGTGCACAGGAACTATATTTAAGTAGCTGTGTGACACAAAGCAACAACTACTATAGAGATGCCGCAGACCAAAGTTTTAATGAGCAACGTGCTCACAGGAATGCAGAAAATGATGTAGCAACAACACCTGGTAGGATAATCACTTAAACTTCTATCGTATTTTAGTGGCAAGGTCTGAAGAGTTGAAAAGCATCCTATACTGGACTGGACATTATGCATTACAATTAATTTCAAAAATCAATTCCTGTCTTAAAGAATGTGAAAGCTTATTTTGGGAGGTTGGGAGAAACACAGCACAGTTTGCTGGCAATTAGGAACATGGACTAGTACAGAAAGATGGAAGGGACCCAGGTGTTCTCACTTTAAGACTATGGCTCTGTTTACTCTGAATGGAGACATGTTCTCCAACAGAGCCTGTTTTTCTAGAACCAATCTTGACAACAAGGAAGCCAGGTGTGTCACTGGGGAGGAGAGCATGTGGGCACCAGCCAGCAGATAATGTAGAAGGTCCCTGGAAACAGCCATTGCCTCAGGGACAGCAGGAAGACATGTAAGTAAGGGTTCCTTTTAACCCTCCCAGGTGTAAATGGATCTCCTATGTATGTCCTGATGAAAAATGTGACTTGCAGGGAAAGAATGGGCTTTTATGGCATTTCAAGGCAGCAACAACTATTTTTCCAGACTGACTACAGGTGGATCATGTTTCTATGTGCTTAAGTAGTAGCTTTTCCTAGTCGGGTGGCACAGGGAATAGAAGACCAGAGTATCCTGCTTGTACATGCTAAGTGTGTGCTGATAAAGGAGAAATAAACAATTCAGAGGACATTCCGTGGCTGGCTTCTGTCAACCCGTGGGAATGCAGAGCAAGCCTTGTTTAATTGTTACTTCATCTGTCCAAGTCTCCAGTTCTAAAATCATATTATACCATTATCATTACAATAGCATGACAATTCTTATAGGATTTTTTAAGGTTCCATACGCACCTTCGACTCTGCTTTTCCAGGTGGCAAAAACTCCATTTCAAAAACAGGATTATCATGGTGGCCAACAATTACAAAGTAGAAGCTTCCAGACATTGTCTTCAATATATGGCTCCTAATTAAATGAAAAGAAGACATATTTTTAGTACTCAATACTGAAAACCAAAAATGGTTAACTGGGAGTGTCCAGTCCCAGAGAAAGTACAACTGAGTTGTGCCAGAGCCCAGGGTGCATGAAGCCTCACTGGGACTCCTGCTGATTCACACAGAACGTGCAGCAAAAGCCAAAGAAATAGGAAATGTATTTCCTAACAAATACAACATTTTGTCAAGGAAATCTGGGCACAGCTGGCACGTTTACCTCTGGAATTGGAAGGCCATAGCTGGGAAAAAAGGCAGACAGGAGACTGTTGGTATGATGAAGTAAGTAGGATTTAAAATATTATTTGGGACAGGGGTCGTCACACTGCAGCTTGTAGGCCAAATGTGGCCTCATCTGACTTACAATCGTCGAAGGCTGCTTTTGCCCTACAGTGGCAGAGTTGAGCAGTTGTGACAGAGACCACCTGGCCCTTTACAGAAAAAACTGGTCCCTGTTTTAGGGGAAAATGAGCAAAAGGCCCAAATAGTAAAACTGGATAACAAAGACAAGCAGAAATGATACAAAAGCTATGCAAAACTAGGAGAATTGGCCATGACTGCCAAGAGAAAGTGAGGGGAAGAGGGTGGGAGCTTGAAACTGCAACCAAGTCAACAGTGATATCATCCATTTTTGCTGCAATATAGTTTCATAGCTGGAGCGTGCCAAGGGAAGGGCTTACTTTCTTAAGCACAAACGTTTAAGCAGCAGAGATAAAAATTAAGGCAGACCCCCCCCCACACACGTTTAAGAAGCAGAAGACAATATATGTTTAAGGAAGATTACCACCCCCACACACTGTCCCGTGTGGAGATCCATGACTGAGGGAGAAGCATGGTGCTAAGGACAGAGTGGGGATCAACAAAGGGAACTGAAGGGAACGCCGAATAAAGACTATCTCAAACTACACAGCTGGGCAGAACCTGAGCTGCCAAGAATTTGACTTTATGAATAGCCGAAGGGAAGTAACTATTCAATTCTTTTAAAAAATATATCTTTATTGATTTTAGAGACAGGAAGGGAGAGGGAGAGATGGAAACATCAATGAGAGTCATTGATTGGCTGCCTCCTGCACGTTCCCCACTGGGGATGGAGCCCACAACCCAGGCTTGTGCCCCACCAGGATCGAACCACGGTCTCCTGGATCATAGGCTGATGCTCAACCACTGAGCCATGCCTGGCTGGCCAACTCTGTTCAATTCTGACAAGGAAAAACTGAAAGGTGAAGTGAGAGGAAAGGAAACCATACGACCACATTGTCTCAGGAAGGAAATACCCACAATCATTTAATGTTTGAGGGCTTACTATGCCTAGGTAGTGGGCAAAGGGGAGACACTCTAGAACTCTGTCTGTCCTATACATGGAACTTTCTGTGAGAATGGAAAAGTTCTATACCTGTGCTGTCCGATGTGGTAGCCACTGGAGGCTAATGAGCACTTGAAATGTGGCTAGTGTGCCTGCAGAACTGAATTTGAAATTTTATTTGATTAAAATTTAAATAGCCACATGTGATTCATGGCTACTGTATTAGACAGTGCAGCTCTAGATCAATGATTCCAAACTTTTTTTTTTTTGAAAGTTCTGAAATCTCCTCCACCTTCCCTCCACCCATGAAGTATTACTTAAACACAAATACAAATAAAGCAACAGCTGTGTGAGTTGTGTAAGTGTCTGCTCGGCTTTCCCATCACCTGAAATAGGGGCCCTCAAGTATCTCCAAAGGAGACTAGGTCTCGAGGTGTGGAGGAGGGAGCTACACAGAACTTGGCAATGGATTAAACAGGTGAACCGAGGACGTTTCCAAATGTCTGACTGAGGTCATCAAGCAGAATATAAGGATGTGCTGCTATTCACCAAGAAAAGAGGGAAGAGGGAGGAAATGAACATGTCAGTTTTGAACATGGGGTGGTAGCCAGAACAGCCCTCCCACCCGGCTCCCGCCCCG